AAAAAACCACGTAGCGTGCTTTCCTATAAACAAACAGTGCGTTTTACACGTGTTGTTACGTCGCATGGGACCCATAGCGGACACGACGCGATGATGCAGCGACTGTGTCCTTTTATCAGTTGTAGAAATGCACATTTATTTTGAATATTTAAAAAAGGCATCGAATTAGATTCAATGAATATATACAAACATGCACTAATGCATGCAATAAAACAGCTATTATTGAAGAACGAAATTGGTGAAATATCAGTTCACATGCCACACTCGTTGATAGTAGTTGTGTTTGCTCAAAGTATCGTCGCAAATCCCAACCGCTTTGCGGCACGTCGTGGTTACCGCAAGAAAATTGTGGTAAAAATACTGTACGCCTTCCTTGTACTAGTATTCAGCAGCTTACAACAATTCGTGTTATGCATTTACAAGCTTAGTAACGTTCACTCATCAATCTGTAAATCGTAGCTCTCAAATACAGGCATTGTCGTAGCTCTTCTTTGTGATGGTATTGTAGTCATTTTGTGATACATTTGGTCGTAATTAAATTTGTTATTTTCATACATTAGGATTGTTATCGGCACATAAATGCTATGATTCCTCCCATAGACTCACGTAAAACAAACGTAAATAAAAGTTGATAAAATTACATCATTTCAATATATTAGGCATTAATCACTCACCAGCGAGAAAACCGTGACAAAAATGTGTTTTAAGTTGTTTTTTCACGGGATTTAGCTCGCTAAACCGTAAGTAACTCTAATGAAAGCCAAAAAATTATTTTGATAGGACAAAATTATTTTGATAAATGACGTCACTGTATTAGGACTTCCTTTGAAACTGTAACAGCTGAAACGCCAGGAAACGGTCATCTGCTGCTATGATTACTAGTATTTTGCTATGAACTTCGCGGTATTTACTACTGTTGCCTATTTTCTCTGCATCCTACATGCATGGAAAGACATCTATTTGTACATTTCTCTTAAAAAAACATACACATGTATCTGAAGTAGACGACATTTTCGCTTTAAGAAAGTATTCAACAAGTTATCGAAGATACCTTTTCACGTAACGTCATATTACCCTCGTTCGACCTGAAGAAAATGGCTGCCACGGTTACGTGTGGCCCGGAGCACTATCGATGGTGTTATATGAGAAAATATTCTGCTTTTGTTGACTTTTATGTATACGTTTGTGTTACGCAATTCCATGTCGATAACAATCCTGCTATCTGAAAATAACAAATTTAATGACACAAAATATATCAGAGATGATTAAAATACCATCATAAAGACCACTATGGAACCACAGCTAGCATTGTTAGCATTGTAAATTATCCAAACTTTTAGATATCATATTCTAATATACTAGTATAAGGCTTAATTAATGGTATAAATAAATCAAATCGCATGCAAATTTGGGTTAATGATTATTCCACTGTACGGTTTTGGAGGTGATTAATCTGTGAACAATTTTATTTTACGATAAAGCATAAATATAGCAGAGGTTTGACGGCTATGATACACACTTAAGTTCATAGTTTATTATTAGCTTTGTAATTTCAGGTTGCCAATGCATAGAAATAAAAGTATTGATATGAGATATATGCCAACTATTGGAAATGGACACGTAGCTCATTTGGTAGGAAGTGACGCCATCTACATGAACGGACTGTACAACGGAGAGGGAGGTATGATTTTATTACGCGGCGCATGCGCGTGCGTTCTGCACTTTCATTGGCCATGGACTGTCACATGTAACACGAGAGAGCATGAGGGGGGTAGACGTGATGTTCAATGTGTTTTTGTGGCGAGAAAAACATCTAGAACTTACTAAATAAATGTCCAGGTATTGTGTAGAAGAGTGCTTACCAATGTGTAGTTACTGTAACAATACATTGTCATTTTTAATAATAAAACGCGAGGGAGTCGTTACCTGTGCATGCGACAGACGGCCAAAGCATGTCGTTGTTAACAAGCGTCTACCCATGAGCCTTTGCGTTTTTAGTATGCGGTGCTATCGTCACTTGGGTCTCAATTTCCGCGCATGCGCAGGTGACGACCCCGCTGTTTTAAAGATTGACAATTGTAGTCATTGTTTACTTTCTCTTATTTCCCTATATATGTCAGCTGACCGATGTATTCATGAACGATTGTAGTAGAAATGATTGTTTCACCACAGAAAACAGTGAAATTTATAATCTGCAATGCATGGCGGGAAATGGTCTCTCACGTTTTTCATTTCGATGTTTTTCAAAAAGCACAATCTTCTTAAATCCCGAATGCAACAAATAACACAACAAAATTAATATATATATATATAATACAATAATTCCTTAACCTTATAATCAACGTATTACTATGTCTTTTAAACATTGGTTATTTATGTCTGTAGAATCAGAGGTGACAAAACGGTTAAAAATCTACATTTTCTTCCGCAAATTTCAAGGTGTAATACACATGCAACAATACAGAACAATTTGTTCCTTATATATATATATATATATATATATATATATATATATATATATATATATATATATATATATATATATATTGAATACGTAGAAAAGATACCATAAGTCTTTTGGGGGTAAACAAAGTTTTGACTTTGAGTTTGTTTATGTTTGGTCTCAATACACAAGTAGCTGCTGTGTAGCCTGGCGTGTTTCAAAGTGAAACCGTCGGCGAGGGCGCAATAACTATCGCCTACCACGTCAGGCTAGCAGGCATCAACATGTAGTCAATAACTAAGCCTTCTAGTCTTACCAAAATGTTATCCAACAAGCTTTGCGTCCATCCTACCACTGATATGGAATTAGTTATTTTGAATTATGAGGACTACGAATTCCAAATTTATCATTTATTTTTAATTTTAGACGTGTGCACAGATAATACGACTATGTATATATACCTTATTACTTATGTTCTGATCAAACTTAGTTGGTCTATTTTTCTTAAGTAAAACTTCTATGTGTTTATCTTAACGATATATCTATCTACAGCTTATCGATCAAAAAGATTGCTTCGTTATCGGGCTAGACTATAAATGTTCTGTTTCCGACGACACGGACGTGTTCCTAACATACATTTACGTCACCAGTGCGTGACTAATTGGGAATGTGTATTAGTATTAGAGGACGCATTTTCAAGTCTGAAGTTAACGTCTACGAGCGTTCACTGAACTCTACTGGGATCTTGGGACTATCATGAGATATTTGATAGTTAGGATTGCGCAGACTATGAGAAATGTTTTATAAATTGTTAATGTTCAGCGCGTCCTAACGCTGGTGATTCAAGTTGTTTTCGTTTCCAATTTGATTGTGTTTGAATTTCCATAGCTAGCGCTTTCGAAAGGATTTTGAAATTGTCAACTTTTATATATAATACACTCTGATAGACTAAAGATTGAAAATAACTGGATTCTGGATAACTGGTGAATTCACGGGGATTTGTTCCTGTGTCAAATTACTGTGGGTCGCAGTAATTCGAAAAAAGGCAGCATCCTGACAATTCTTCGTGTTTTTTTTAAAGCGGGAGGGTCGTCACCTGCGCGCGCGCGGGAATTGAGTCCTAAGCGACGATAACAAAACAGGCTAAAACCGCAAAGGCTCATGGGTAGACGCTTGTTTATAAACAATGACACGCTATGGCCATCTGACGCATGCGCAGGTGACGACTCCCCGCTTTAAGTTCCCCGATGTAGGCAAATTCAGACCAACAAATAATTGACCAAAGATCCCAATAAAACCCAATGAATATTGTCAGATTGTAACTTTAATGTGATTCATCAAGGTGGTGGCTAGTTGAACACGCATATATATATTTTCTTGTAGCTGCAAGTCATCGTGCCAGGATATCAGCACGTAATGCAATTACAGTTACATTTAATGACGAAGAACTTGCAAACTTGGCGACACGGTCTTACACTTTGGATATGTCTCAGGGTAAGCTTATTGCCATTGTAACGTACCATGATATCGATGTTGTTGGAAACAAGAGCGAACTATGAACACGTCTCGATAATGACCTAATCTAGATTGACAATGATGAAGTAGTTTGTAGTGCACAATCACCATCACCGACGAATTTGGGGGTATATTGTGCTGCTTCGATCGGCATCTTCTGCTTGTTAAGCTCTTTCATAAAACGTCAGACGTGCCATGGCTAACACAGTTATATTACTGACGGTCACGTGAATAGGAAGTGACCAATCAAAATAATAATAATGGTCACGATTGTTTAACTTTCTAGGACTGTGGAAGGACATATTGGAAATTGATGACAAGATTAGAATCACTACATATCTTTACGCTCACCAGTTCTATAGCCGAATATTTGTTAGCCAAGTGAAGGTTGAACGACTCGGACCTAGCAGGAACCGAATTTTATTGGATATAACTAAAATACCCTCAAGTGCCATAATCAGTGATGACGTAAGAGAAACTTCTAGCGAGGAACTTGAAGTCGGCGGTGATTCTTGGTAAAACATAACTTTTGTTTACCGTGACATGTAGTACATTTTAAATTTGTAGTATTATGAAATTTAATAGTTCTTATACTGATCTTACAAATAATTCTTAATGCAGGCGACGAGTTGGAAACACAAAGTACCCGGAAGTTAAAGGTCAAGACACCACCCCAGTATATATATATTACAATGACATTCCCGATGATTTTTACTACGACGACACATATACCGTATGGAAAACGTACTTAGTCGCCGTGGATACTGATGATGATGTTGCTAGAAAAGACTTCGTTGACGCCGAAGATCTGTTACGTGGTGCCGACATTCATGGACATGAAACTTTTTTTAATAACCATACCGAAGCTTGGAAGGAAATCTGGAACAAAGGACGCATTGAGGTCGATGATGAAATGATTGGAATTGCTGCCACCAGTAGCTTGTACTACCTTATGAGTTCGTTGCCAGTTCTTGGTGAAACTAACTCACCAAAAGGCCAATTTTACGGTGTTAGCCCTTGCGGGCTCGCTCATGGCGCAGCTGGAGAGAACCTGCAGGGTCACGTGTTGTCCGATATGGAGATTTTCATGTTCCCCGCTATATTGATGTTTCACCCAACCACAGCAAAAAGTATGTTGTCTGCTAGACATTTCCAGCGAGACGCCGCAAGCGAGCAGGCTTCCCAGGCCGGTTATTCTGGTACCCGGTTCCCTTACGAGTCGGCAAGCAGTGGTTTTGAGTTGACACAGGATGATAAATCAAAAAAGAAAGAGTATGTCACAAGTGACGTAGCGTTCGCTGCTAGACAATACCTTTCAGCTACCCGTGACGTCACTTGGTTGAACAGTTGGGGTAGGGAATTTATGTACGACATGGCAGATTACTGGCAAAGCAGGGCCACGTACTCTAAACATCTTGGGGCATATGTAATAAACGGTAAGTTAATAGTTTAATTAAATAAACAATAATTTACCAGTATTAGTTTATTTGTTAGTTGTTAGCTAAATCGGTTGGTCAGCCACTCACTCATCACTTATTGATTGATTGACTGATTGAATAACTGATTGGTTGATTGATTGATTTATTTATTTATTTATTTATTGATTGATTGACTAACTAACTAACTGACTGGCTGGCTGGCTGGCTGGCTGGCTGACTGACTGACTGACCGACTGACTAACTTATATTATACAGATGTATATGGGCCAGATGACTACCCTTCGAGTTCCGTGGATAATTCTGTGTATACCAACATCGGTGCAAGTCAGGCCATTCTGTACGCGGATTACGCGAACTGCCTGGCTGGTCAGAGTGATCTACCTAGCGACTGGATGGAAATATCCAATGAAATGGTTGAAATTTTTGATTTTGAAGAACAATACCACCCAGAATACCAAGGATACGAGAAAGGTATGTTTCGTCGAGCATGACCATAATGAATTATATATATTTCTGCTTTTGTTAAGTATCCTAACAATTGAAACCTCTTTTAGATACACCTGTGAACCAGGCAGACACAATCATGGTCGGATATCCTTACCAGTGGGAAATGACAAAAGAAGTATTTGCTAACGACCTGGATATATACAATGATGTGACGGCAATAGCGCCACCTACGACGTGGGCGATGTTTGCTATTGGATATATGGAAGTGGACAAGAAACTGGATGCTGACAGTCATTTTTCAAAGTTGCTTGATAATTACATTCGACCACCATTCCAAGTAGGTTTATACGCATGTGAATTTATATCTAACGTTCAGTATGTCAAGAGAATGTTCAACACAATTTTGGCACACGAGAGATTCTATACGCCTTTCCTAAAAAATAATAAAGTTGTAGCTTGATGATCCGTATAGTATGGCATCAAGTCACGTCTCCCGTAGCAACGTAGCGCTTCCATTGAAGGGCTCATACCACTAATTGAATTTCCATAGACGACAATGTTAACATATGACGAGATTGCTATATGAAAATGACGAAGAAAGTTGAAAATATGGCTCAAAAATGGGAAATCAACATGCCAGTAATCAACCATATGAAAAAAACTAACATGTTGGCCAGCTCAAACTCTTGCAAATCTCAGGTAAACAAGACACACCTACTGTATTTGGATTGCACCAAGAGAAATCACTGGAAAAACACCAAGATTAGAACATCCATTAACACACAGAATAAACCCACAGGTACACAGCCGCTAAGTAGTAAACAAAAGACCACATGTTGGTCTCACCTCTGACCCAGGTGATTACGCCCTCAAACAGGGAGCACCTGAGAAAAATAATATTTAAAAAATTTCATTGGTTCTTGCTGGGCATTTAAATTGAGGGCTACGAGCAGCCATTGGTTAATTAGTGGCATGAGACCTGAACACCTCCCCGGAAGTCAGAGGTACGACGTTTCGCATGCGCGCGTATACCGGATATGTGGGGGTGCAACGTAAAAATGCACGCGTGATACCGTGCTTATGGAGGTACCAATCGACGTCACAAAAAATTCCCTTTTACCGAATATCAGCAGATCGACATGTTGGTATTAGTCGCCGTTTGTTTTTGCGTCTTTCTGAAACCCGGTTTAGATACACCAAGGAATGTTGTCCATGACGAAATAGGTGGCGCGAAGGTCGTCCAAAACTTCGATATCGTTTTGATATGTAGTCGTCCATCAACGAAGATAAAGTTTTTGAAAGATTTTATATCGAGCGACTACACAACTAAATACAACTACCGGTTTCACCATATACGTTTGACGTCACAGAAACTCCACATCACGAATTGAAGAAACTTATATGTATTTTTAAAATTGCTGCGAGCAACGTCACGGTCTTGTTGTTTCGAAGTGTGCCAATTGTCGCCACCTAGTACTTTGTCGTCAGAACAACGTCACTGTCTTGACTAGTACTTATCATCGGAACAAAGTCAGCATTTTGTGATAAAATGCAAAGAATAACACTTACTAAAGTGTTCATGTATGCAAATCATGAGAATAGTAAAGCTACTGTTTTATTAAAATAAACAAATTTTATTTATACAAACTTACTGAGACCCTGCTCATATCTTAGTACAACCACACGTTCATAGCGGTAAATATCATCTGCATTACATACGAGGGCCGTGCAGAAATGTGCAGGGGTCTTGTTCATATAGTCTGAAATATGATTACCATGGTAACACGCGCTGGTAACTTTTGCTTTTGTAGTAGGTATAATTCGTCGAAGGTTTTAATTTCGTCTGTCGCTTTAATATCGCCCTCAAAGTGGATTCTGATTTTCGCTTGTTTTTATTTTTTATAATGATTGTCATAGATCTGGACCGACGAGATGTTAGGCATGGGATTGGTCAATTATGTGAGCGCAATGGGTGCGTACCTCCAAACTCTCATATATGGTTATGGTGGATTTAGACTTCATTATGAGCAATTGGATTTCAACCCAGTACTACCCTTAAACGTTAATACTATGAAGTTTGTGGGACTGGAATTTATGGGAAGCGAGTTTGACTTTGAATATGATGAAACTTCTATCAAGATTGAAGTCACTTCAGTTGGTGATATTGCTGTCAAAGTTACCACTGGTTCAGGAAGGGAATACTCATTCAGCGATGGTATGTTTGTTCATACCTGTTTACACTTTTTTAAAAATATGGGGGGAAAAAACAAAATAAAATCAATTTTTACGCTAGCTGGCGCACTTTATATGAAGTGACGTTTGATCCGTTCTCTCCATTAAACTTTTAGATATTATAATATCACGGTTTGAGTCAACGCACATCAAGTTTTGTCTGTCACGTTAAATGTTATTTATTTGTGTCTATGTAAAAGCACTGTTGACATGTGTTATGTTATTTGTATGTGACTATGTAGAACCACTGTCGACATGTTTTATGTTATGTGTATGTATCTAACCACTGTTGGCATGTTTTATGTTATTTGTATGTATCTATGTAAAACCACTATTGACATGTTTTATGTGACTATATAAAACCACTGTTGACATGTTTTATGTTATTTGTATGTGTCTATGTAAAACCACTGTTGACATGTTTTATGTTATTTGTATGTGTCTATGTAAAGCCACTGTTGGCATGTTTTATGTTATTTGTATGTGTCTATGTAAAACCACTGTTGACATGTTTTATGTGACTAAAACAACTGTTGAAATGTTTATGCAATGTGTATGTGTCTATGTAAAGCCACTGTTGGCATGTTTTATGTTATTTGTATGTGTCTATGTAAAACCACTGTTGACATGTTTTATGTGACTATGTAAAACCACTGTTGACATGTTTTATGTTATTTGTATGTGTCTATGTAAAACCACTGTTGACATGTTTTATGCAATGTGTTTGTGTCTATGTAAAGCCACTGTTGACATGTTTTATGTTATTTGTATGTGTCTATGTAAAACCACTGTTGACATGTTTTATGTGATTATGTAAAACAACTGTTGAAATGTTTATGCAATGTGTATGTGTCTATGTAAAACCACTGTTGACATGTTTTATGTTATTTGTATGTGTCTATGTAAAACCACTGTTGACATGTTTTATGTGACTATGTAAAACAACTGTTGAAATGTTTATGCAATGTGTATGTGTCTATGTAAAGCCACTGTTGACATGTTTTATGTTATTTGTA